TATCTACCGTAATTTTATGATGGTTTAGTATGCTATCTACCGTAAATATTTTATCTACAATGTAATTTACGATGTAAATTGTCTTACCTTTATAATGCAGAATTTCTTCTTTGTCATTTTTTTTATACTGTGTAGTTATGTATACGTATTTTTGATCGCTCCAAGGAATACTTCAAACAGGTCTTCAGTTGGTTGGTGGCACGAGCGCCACCACTCTTCTTGAAGTTGGGATTGTAATATGTTAGTCGCTCCCCGGGTTTTAATGTTATATTTATTTTTGACGTGTCTCCAAAGAGTTTCTATAGTTTGGGTCTCAGCACCAGTTATTGGATCAATGAAATTTTCTGAATGATTGACCGTTTTATGGATAAACCCATGTTCATTTAAAGTAGAATACGCCCGCCATTTATCGGAATATATAGTAGTACCTTGTTCAACTTCGTTTAATATAATTGGCAGTAATGTATTTCGATCACGCTTTTCAACTTTAAAAAAACGTCTCTCTAAAATGCCATCATGTTTACAACACAAACCAAAAATCCATGGCCCTTGAATTCGTTGTCCGTAATTTTGATTACTTATTACTTCGTCTTCATCTGAACTTTCTTCATTTTCATCTTCATTTTCTTCGGGTTTGCGGTCTCCAAGACGTAATCTTCCACGATTATATTTCCTTTTACCTTGGAACAAGGATTCATCTATTTGTACAACTAGACCAGGACCTCCCATTTTTTTACGTTTTTGAAATTCAGCTACTGCTACGTCTCGACATAAATTATACCAGTCAACTATAGTTGATCTTGATTTTTTCGTAAATACCTCGGCTTGTGTTACCTTTATTTGAAATACCCAATACCAAACAAGTTCTACGATATCGCACAAACTTAAACCACTGTTACACTTCCCATTTTTATCCATATATGTAAAAAAGTTGTTGTTCTTGCGTATGGAATAAAATGTTTGGCATCCTTTTTTCGTACATCGATTATAAATTGTTTTCAAAATATTACCTTCCGAATCACGTTTTCGACTATTTTTCAGAACTTTTTTTAACTCGCCACCACAAATTGTTTGGTTTTTAATTTTTGTACATGTTTGGTCGTCAATTGGTAATAAACCGCGTATGCTTAAAAAATGTTCTCACATCTCTTCATTTTGAATTATGTGTCGATATAAATAACTCATAGTTGACGAACTCATAATAATAATTATTAAATAATAATAAATAAATCACAGTAAAACCACGTATAGGTTTCGACACGACACGACTCACGACACGACACGACTCACAAACAAACACTAAACAGGTATAATATAAAGATATACCTACTAACCTACCTAACTTACTAAGTTATAAATATAATATAATTTGGGGTTTCAATAAAAGCTTAATCTTAAATCTTAATTGCAAAATGATAAAGTATACATAATAATATAATATACAGCATACGGTCATACGGTAGATAGCATACCAAACTATCATAAAATTACGGTAGATAAAATATTTACGGTAGATAGCATACTAAACCATCAAACGTGCGGTAGATAGCATATTGGACGAGTACCAAATATTTTAATGGTTAAAATGAACTATTTGCGATTAATTAAGGACACATTTTTTATTAATTTTATTTCAAAATTATACCCATATAGAACTTATAGTAGGTTGGATTTTAATTCCCAGCCTTATTTTGTCATTTAATGTGGTTGTAGAGTTATTGTAATCAACCAAAATTACAAAATGTAGAATTTATCATAAAATATTATTTCTGCTACGAAATAATTCAGTTCTACTTTGATACTTTGATCTTTTAGAGATTTTTTCAAATCTTTTCCGAAACGGTACACCCAATAAATGAAAAGTTCCGTCTACATTTCAAACGCACCTTGCGCCTATGTGAACTTACCGTGCAATTATGCTATAAATTATATTTTTATAATGCTGTTATAAAGATAAACTGCGTATCGTGTTATCGTGCTATCATTAGTTTTTTCCATGTTATAATTATTTATACGGGACGATGCGTGACGGTAACTGGTTAAAATTTGATATCGATAATTAATAAAGTAATACCTATTGAGTACTGAGTAGTAACAAATTGGTAGAATATAACGTTTTATCTGTATAGACTTTTTGACTGCGAAATTAACGTTATCGTTTTCGAAGATGTAAAAGTAAACAGTCGGACATGCTACTATAGTTTTCGTCGGTTTTCCCAAGTTTTAGCGTAAAATTATTGGTGTCGTCTTCATACCAAGAGCAGCGGTTCCCAGTCTTTGTATATCCGTGTACACATTTCGAACATTTTTGCGTACCACTTGGCTACAGTGACGAAATTACAGATATCAACTCTTTATAATGCATTACCATACCACGGACGTACAAGAGCCAGAGCAAAACGCTTCGTATTTGTCGAACTCGTACGTTGTACGCCACTGGCGGCGAAGTAAAAATAGGTTGTGTTGAGGACTGACGGCTGACGGGTTTCTCTGAATTTCCCATAGAATTATTTCTTATTGTCTACATCAGCGTTTCTTAAACTGTGTTCCGTGGAACCCCAGGGTTCCGCGGAGGTCACTTCAGGATTCCCCGAAACTTGTGGTTTTTATTCAAAATTTTAAATGTTGACACATAATTATAACTTTTATTGCAAATATTCCTTACATAAAATGACGCATTGAAAGTATTGAAACAATGCAGCGGTTCTAATTGTCGAGCTGTAATAGTTTATTTTTATGAGCTCAATAAAAAAAAGCTAAAAAAAGTTGGGGGTCCACGGTGAAAGTGCACATAAAAAAGGGTTCCACGGATAAAAAAGTTTAAGAAACGCTGGTCTACATCACAGAAAAAGTCGTCGCTACAACTACAACTGCTATTGTGTTTTATAAATAACGAACTTTATTTCCGAAATTCTGCGTATTTGGTCGAGTATTTTTTGTATAATAATTGTGAAATAGGCAATGAACAAGAAATTAAGTACTATGTAACACTTTTTCAAATAAAAGGGTTAGTGTCCCTTGAAATTTGCAGCCCGATTTCCCCCTCTTGCCTTAAAAAAACTAAAAACTAAAAAAATTGCAAATTGAAAATATCCATAAATAGCTCAAAACAATTCAAAATATTGTTAAAATTGTATTGTGTTTAAAAAATTATAATACAATCATTCGGTGAACATTTCATTAATTGACGGTCATTATTTCACACCAAAAATCAAAATTGAATTTGTCAAAAACTGCAGGCTTTGGGTACAAATCTAGGTTGTTCTTTAATTTTAGGTTCTAAGCCGACCGATGAATACATTGAAATTACATAATGTGTATTTTAGTAGAGTGTATTTATTGGTAAAAGTTCAAACGAGTTTGATTTATGAAAAACTGCAGGTTGATTTATGCAATTTGCATTACATTTTTACCTTTATACATAGTTGCATGTACGTTTGATACAAAACATTTTTTTATTAGACCAAGACCATAGTTAATTTCGTCGTAAATACAATTAAAATAGTTATAAAATATTTTAGTACTAAAAAGAGTCATTTAAATATGATTGATATGAATATGAAGATTTAAATGTAGGAAACTATAAAGCCACTATGATATGTGTAGGTATACGGTTACATACAATTATGATTAAAAAATAACATAATTTTATATTTAAAAACCTTGATGGAAATGTAAAAAACTATACCGGAGGAATGTAAAAACATGTCTTAAACATTTAAACATAATTGAACAATTAATTCATACATTAACCGAAGAAAACACATTACTGTAATTCTAATTTCTAGGTTATAATAACACAATATGATTATACCAATCAATGAAAAAACCTACTTTATATTAAAAGCAATTTATTCTTTACAATAAATATAATTTGATATTTACATCTGTATTGTTGTACACAAATACACATAGTAATTTAGTATTAGTTTTATAAATCAAATCAACATTTATAATATGCATTTATTTTTCATCATAAATTATTATTCCATGTTAACTTTTACAATTTATTATTTTATACAACTTCTATATTTTAATTTGTATATTCGTTGTTCTATTCTCGTTCTCTCCATATCCAGTAGTAATAATAGGTGCAATACAAAATACAAATATACAATGTATTACTAGTACAACAGTATGCACTCCCGTATTGGCACCTCCTATGTTATAGGGCTGTTGAAAATACATCTAAGAGCGCCTTAATTTTTGTTATTTAAACCTATAGCCTATAGGCTATACTTGAAGGTCCTTTAGATAACAGGTTAAAAAGTATACCCTTCTGCTGTACATTAGGTGTCGTTGTGGGTCACTGAAATGGAAGGTGTTAAATTTGAATTCGATGCTATATTATTGTATATAGGTATACGATAAACAATACGGTCTGTCAGTCAGCTTATATTTTAATAATATTTTTTAATTGAAAATAAAAAGTAATAAAATCATTAGTTTTCGTTTAATTATCTAATTTTGCCCAAAGTTTAACTTAAAATAGCAATAAAAAAAAAACTATGAATATTTATTCATATGTCTTAAAGTGACAGTATGAACTACTTATTACTTGTTGTAAATGTTCAATCCTTAGCTATAAAAACTGATCATTTTATAAATTTGTAACTTCAAAATAATTTGAAAATTGTTGAGACTTAGATGAATTTTGTCAAATTCTTAACCTTTAATACTTATAAAAAATGGTGCTTGTGCTTACGTATCTTATTTTTTAAATTCGTTATAACAACTTGTCAGGAATCTTGAATTAAATTTTCAAACTATTTGACCCAATGAAAAATCTTATTGATATATTTTATAGAAAAAAGTTTTTCAACGGTCTATAAATAGCTCAAAACTAGTCAATATATTTTGAAATTTTATCATGTATAAAAATAAATATTTGGTGAAAATGTTAAGTATCTACGACTTATTCGTTATTGAATTTCAAAGAATAACAAAATCGTTCGATGAGAATTCATTAATTTACGACTGAATATCCAATGTCAAAAAAATTTTAACTAACCGCTAGTAAAAAAATAATTAGACTTCCCGGTTAACTTTTTTGTTTAAAGTAGGAAAACTAATGAACATCTTGTAGTATATTTTTAAATCTTAGATAAAAATAGAAATTCTAACTCAAAATAATTTTAAAATATTCGTAATTTTCACGATGTAATTATCAACTTTATTTCTAATTTCCATTAACAACAACTTATGATGAATAGCCAGTGATGTAAATTTTATAATACAAACTGTATAGTATTGTATTATACAAGTGTATTATACGTTGTGTATTAAAAAATAAAATACAAATGGTATAAAAAAAAAAAAAAACCGAGTAATAAATGGTAAGCCGATTCGCCGTTTATGCATGCAATGAATTTTGTTTCAACTGATAACAGTGATATAACGACAGTTACGTGTCGCGACAGCTGGTCCCCACTAACTGATGCGCCATGGCGGTAGTTGTACGGCATATCAGTCATCACGTTTTGTATAAATGTATTTATTTATAAGTTATTAGTGTAATGGTGGTATTAATTATTCTTATACAATATTGTAACTTTTATTTATTGTGAATAGTGTTATTAATTCGTATTATGTGTTAATGTGTTATTACGTCTTACATTTAATAATGTTTAACTAAAATTTACAATAATTTTTAACTCCTGAATAATTGAAAAGTTAGGTACCGTTTGTTTTTACAATGGGTCGACCTTCGAAACAAAAAGCTTTTGTTGATAAATATTTTATTAAGTATTATATTGGAAAGACGGAAAAGCGAAAATGCATATTTTGTAAGGAGTCTTACGCCTATAATGCATTTCGTTTAGCTAAGCATTTATTAATATGCCGAAAAACGGATTTCAAATTCCAAAATGATAAAGTAAAAATTGCATCTTTGTTTAAACTTAACAACTTTGAACAGGTTAGTTTCAGTTCAAATAGTAGCACGGAAACAATATCATCTAATAATTTGGGTGCAATTATACCAGCCTTTTTAAAAAATGATCAAACTTATGAGGATTCTGAACTTATGGTTGAAAATCAAGATTTAATACAAAATTCAAACACAATTGATTCCTATGAAATTATTCATCAACATATTCCTGCTAGTTCTACTACTACATCTTCATCAAACACAAATATTTTTAAGAATGATTCAAATGCAACTAAACTAACAACTTTTTCAAGTAAAATTTCAAGAGAATCAAATACTAGAACTTTGGATGGATATGTCGATCGCCTCATTAATATACAAGAACAGGTAATAACTTATATTGTTTACTTTAATAGAATAAATTCTAGATAACTGGATACTAATAAAGATAATTATGATGAAAAGGCAGTTATTAATTTGTTGAATTTTAATATTTTTTAACTACCTAATGATTAGGTATAAAATATAAATATATTTATTTATCAAATAAATTAATGTATAATATAGATTAGGTCTTAATCTATATTATACATTCACTAATCAATTGATTTTTATTTAACTAAACTAGTGCTATTATAATTTATAGGAAGAAATATGGGAAATTCTTGCTAGAGCTTGCTATGCATCTGGGACAGCATTAAGTTTTACCTAAAATGTTTACTGGCAAAAAGCATTTAAAAAAATTCGCCTCTGTTTAAAACTACCTACGCGGTATCATTTATCGAACAAACTTTTAGATGCAGAATATAACAAAATTGAAAATAAAGTGACAGCAAAAATAAACAGTGCTCGTTTTTTATCTCTTCAGTTGGATGGATGGAGTAATATTAGGTAGGTAATTAGTATTTTTTGTCAATTCCTTTAGTAAAAAACATATTTTTCTAATTATAGGCAAGAACCTATCATAAATGTTATATTGACTACTCCAGAACCTGTAATTTTTAAAATTATTGACACTGGAAGCAACTCACATACTGGAGAATACATGGCTAGTATAATAGAAGATGTATTTTGCGCTGTAAACATTAAGAAAATTATATCTGTTGTCACAGATAATGCTAAAAATATGACTTGTTCTTGGAAAATTCTTAAGGAAAAATTTAAAGATGAAAACATTTCATATTATGGCTGTGCTGCTCATGTCCTAAACTTACTTAACAAAGATCTAATGCAGTTAAATACTTTTTCATTACTGGGGGATTCAGCTAAAAAAATTTGTGTTGAATTCAAACAGTCCCACATATTAAATTCACTTTTAAAAGAATTTCAAAATGCTGATCCTGATAAAATTAAAAAAAAAATAACACTCAAGTTACCTATTGTGACCCGTTGGGGCTCAAATGTGCAATGTTTAAAAAGTCTTATTTTTAATAAACAATATTTGCAACAAATAGCTATTTCTCCAAAAGCTATTAAGTATTTGAGTAAAAATTTTTCAGCTAAAATATTAGATAATGATATATTTTGGCCAAAAGTTGAAAAACTTATTAGCATACTTGAACCTATTTCGATTTGGATTAAAATTTTAGAGTCTGAGGCTAGTAATTTATCAGATGTTGTCTGTGCGTTTCATCAAATTGACGACAAAATAAAAAATTTAGTTTCAGTATCAAAAGAACAACAAGGTATTTTATCATGCATAGAAAAAAGAAGAAAAATGGCAATTGAAAAAATTCATTTATCTGCACATTTATTAGATCCTAGACACAAGGGAAAATATTTGACTAAAGAAGAAAGTGTAGAAGCTTCACAATTCATTTATTATTTTGCAACCTATATTAATTTACCACAAGCTGATGTATTATGTGATTTGGCAAACTATAGAACAAATAGTGGCTTATGGGCAAGAGACTTTGTGTGGAATTGTCTAAATACTAAAACCGATGGTAATCAAATGAACATAATAACATGGTGGAATGGAATTTGTTCGTCTTCGAATTTAGCGACAGTTGCATCAGCCATTTTACAATGTCCACCTACCTCAGCTTCAACAGAGAGATCTTTTTCTACTTATGGACTAGTGCATACAGCAAAAATAAATAGATTAACTACGGATAGAGCTTCTAAATTAGTATATGTTAAGCACAATCTAAAGCTACAAAATAGTAATGATGCTGAAGATTTAGAATGTTTTGAAGATAATAGTCTGGAGATCAATAATTCAGATGAAGAAGATGAAGAAGATGAAGAAGATGAAGAAGATATACAAATTAATCCTGATGAGACAGAATCAATTTTCCAGGCTGTAATTAACAAAAATAAAGAGTATCAAAAATAAATATTGGTAATTTTTAATTTTATCGTTACCTATACACTGTATTATAATTTATAACTTTTGATTGATTTGAAGAAGAACAAGTTATTATTTTATTTTGTTTGTTATTAAATTTTGTTATTACCTATATATTATTAATAGTTAATTTTTTATAGGTAATTTAAAATAAAGTTATTAATTTATGTTCTGTTTTTATAATAATTATAATAAAGTTTGTTTCTTTTTTTGTTAAAAGTTCTTATTTATTAACACCATTGATTACATTTAATCAATGTTAACACTATAGTGTGGGGGGGTCTAAATAGTTGTGTAATTACTGTAAATACTCACAAATTAATTAATTAAATACTAATTCTAATTACTAAAAATATTAAAATCTAATATTCTAAACTTAGAAACAATATATTTTTATTTATTTATAATTACCTAACTCATAACTGCCATTATTTAATTTAATATTTAAAATGGATCATTATTCATCAATAAACTTCAATAGTTTTGATTTTACTATACTTGAATAACTATATTTAACAATAATGTAAACACCAAACAATTTTTTTTTAATACTGTATAATACACGTATAATACATGTATAATACACGTATTATACAAATGAAAAATATAATACGGTATTTTTACATCACTGTGAATAGCCTTGTATTCAATTTTCAAGTATTTTGACAAAGAGAGAATTATTTTTATCAACAATAATAAATAAAAAACCAATTATTTTGAAAATTGAATGGTGTATAGTTACTTCAAAAAAACTTAATCAATTTTGTGAAAACGCCGGTCGGCTTGCGATTTATGGACAAACGCCGAAGTAACGCAAATTTCTAATTTTGCACTGTTTTAAAAGTACTGTTACATACTTCAATATACTGGGCTATACCGGTCGGAAAACGCTGCGGAATACGCTGTGTATGGTCCCGGCCTAGGTATTACTTATTAGTTATTATTATAATTTACAATGTATACCAGTCACTCGATAAACACGTTATCGAGTACGATTTTCACTGAAAAAAATATTTGGTAATTTCAGCAAGAATCTGATAACTGCAATCAACTTTTTTGGTTGCCTCTGTGACAACAAAACATTATGTAGAAGTTACAATGTATTAAATGTTAACTATTCTGATAGTGGTGACTGTACAATTTTGCTGTAAATATGCATTTAACTGTCAGAAATCAGTATGCAATTGTGAGTTGTTCACAAATCCTTTTGTAATATTTACCAAACAATCTTTTTATCAAAACACTATTTTTTTGTTATAAGTACTAATTCTTCTTATACAAATATAATTTTTTTAGTAAGGCCTACAATATGATTTAGTGCTTTTTTGCAGTATTGTTTGTAATAATTACATAACTATTTTGGTGCTTTTTGTAGTACCTAGGTACCTATTGTTTGTAACAATTATACAACCATTATGGTTAATTTTACAGTATACTTTTGTTGATTTCAGTGACACGTTCAGAGGGGGAGACAAAGCCCCAAATAACTTTTAAAGCTCCCTAAAAATACGAATAGAATACATGTTAGGTATTAAATGTAAAAAAATATAGGTACATCATTTATTATTTCAAATTTTTTTATTTTTACGAAACATGATTACATAATTATTTATACGGCTTAGTAAGGTATATACATTGTACATTACATGACATTTTGAATACCTATACCTTAAACTAAGTTATTTTTAAGTATTCAGAAGCAAATAAATATTTGATTAATTACTAATTATTACAAAAATTGTATAATTCTGTTAAGTACATAAAAGCTTATATTTCAATTTTTGAATTTTTATATTATATACATTTATTAAAATAATTAGGTTATAAATTATAATACATAATACTAAATTATAATTTATACATAAACAAAAATAACAATTAAAAATATTAATAATACGATTGTAAGAATCTGAAGGATGTAAATTAACTTATAGTTACTGCGCAAGTGTATATACTAAATAACAATAATACTAAATGGCACTTCTCAATGTAACATATGTAGAGCCATTTGACAGTACACTAATATTGTTTGGAATATGAGAATAGAGCATATGATGATATATAAGGACTTCATTAATTATAGGTGTAATTACTTCATAAGAATAAAAATGCTCATCATAACCAATAGTATTTAATTTTAAACATTTGAATACAACTACTGTATTATTATACAAATATATATCATTTATGATACCAAACTCGGGGAGACTATTTTGGTTTACATCAAGAGTAAGAATCATATTGGTTTGATACTTAGTACCTTTAATAGAAATCCAAGAACAACTAATAAGTGAATCTAAAGAATCTATTACCATAAATCTTTTTATATTTTGGATATCAGTGTTACTAATTAGGTTGTTAGAAGAACCTGATTCAATAGTATTACCTAAATTTCCCTTAATAAACAGATTGTTGAGAAGTAGTTGTTGCCTAATAGCCAAGCTCATACAAATATTACGTCGATTACTAGAGGAATTGGCTGATATTTTTGAAACCCTATGCTTTGCTTCAAAGCGCATACACCATAAATTTACTAATGGACCAAACTTTTTAATCATTGTGTGGTAATGTAAAATAAAATGATACTTAGGTCTGAGATGTTGTTTGCTATATTTTAAATACAGATCATTGTGTTCTGCAACAAGAGTTTGGATTAGTTTACAACACTCTTTTTGTAATGTTGTAGATGTTGTAAGATCAGTAATTTGTCTGAGCAAAATATAAATACACCATACTGTTATGTTTCAACTTAACTGTATTAATAATAAATATGAAACACATAATTAACAGTTGTAGTTAAACATTAATTATATTACAAAGTTGTATAATTATATTACAAAGTAAGAACGAACATGTTTTTATTGAACAGACAAGAATGACAAAGAAATAGAATGTAACAACATATATATTTTAGGTTACCTACTGGCATAGCAGTGTGACCATACATAACACCCTTACACTTAAGTTTTGAATAACTACAAATGTAATAATAAATAATATAATGATTTTAACAATAACAAATAATACACAATATGAATAATTTAACATTACACAAACTAATTAATAATATAGAAAATCTTTTTTTAAGTTAGGCTTACGCTGCCTTTTACAATTAATAACATTTTTTTCTTCACCTATTACATTTTTTTCTTCAAGGTTTTCATTCTCATCACTCTCACCATTTATACTAATTGGTCCTAGGATTCTTTTTCTTATATGTCTACTTGTTCTTCTAAACTCTTTTTTAAACAAATCAATCAACCAATAAGACCTAGGTGCATTAGCTTTCTTAATTATTTTTCCTGGTACCCACACATTATCTTTTAAGAATAATATATCCTCTTGTGGTATAAATTCATTACACTTTTTTGTATGCCTATTATAATAATGCTTTTGCACAGTTTTTCTTAATTTTAAACTATTTTTCACTTTATTGGAATTAATGTATTTTGGACTCAAAAGACTTTTTAAAATGGGTAATTTTTCCTTAAGTTTCTTAGACATTAACAGTTCTGCTGGAGAAAAACCCACACGTTCAATACGAGTGTTTCTATATTCCAACAGTGAAATATATGGGGATTGCTTACTCTCAACACTCTTTTTTAAAATTTTTTTACAAATCCCCACAAATTTTTCAGCTAAGCCGTTGGACTGCTGATAATTAGGACTACTTGTAATCACTTCAAAGTTCCAGGCTTTTCCAAAGTTCCTAAATTCGATGCTATTAAATGGTACATTGTCAGCTACTACTATATCAGGACTACCAAACCTAGCAAAAATAGACATACATTTAGAAATTATTTCACTAGCTGACTTATTAGAGATATGTAACAACTCTATCCAGTTAGAATAATAATCAACGACTACCAAATAATACTTATGATCAAACTCTAATATATCTGCTCCTAATCTTTCCCAAGATCTGTTTGGTACAGGATGAGATAGTAAAGGTTCCTTAGGTTTAGCATTTTGTAGTTTAGTACAAACATTACATGACTGAACTAATTTCTCTATGTCTTTATCCATACCACGCCAATACAGTAACTCTCTTGCTCTGGACTTACACTTGACTATTCCCCAGTGTCCTTCATGTATTATTTTTAACATTGGATTTTTCAATATCTCAGGCACAACAACTTTCTTATTTAAAAATACTAGTCCGTCTACTATCATTAGATCATCTTTAATGTTCCAATAAAATTGTATGTTGTGTGGGACTTTATTTTTAGTCATTGGCCAACCAGTGTTGCACAATTTGATAAGGGTACTTAGTTCACTATCTTTTTCTGTTTCTGTTTCAAATAACTTCTTTTTCTCTTTCGACATAGCTAGACTTTCTATTAACTCAAGAACCACTAACTCTATTTCAGGATCATTATCACCTTCTGTGCTTAAAAAATCCCTTGATAATGTATCTGCAATGTACATCTCTCTACCGGGTGTAAACACAATACTTAAATCATACTTTAGCAGTCGCATTCTTAATCTTTGCAGTCTCATAGTTACTTTATGCAAATCTTTTTTGAAAATAGACTCCAGTGGTTTATGGTCAGATTGAACAACTACTTTTCTGCCATAAATAAATGTATGAAATTTGTCACACGCGAACGATATGGCTAGCATCTCTTTCTCTATTTGGGCATATTGTTTCTCAGCATTATTTAAACTACGAGATGCATACGACACTACATGCCCATTTTGTATTAATGCAGAACCCAGCCCATCTCGAGAAGCATCTGTCTGTATTATGATAGGCTTTTTGTTATCAAAGGTTTTAAGAAGCGGTGATGTTGATAACAATTTTTTAAGCTTATCGACGGACTGTATGTGTTGACTTTGCAACTTAAATTCAACATTATTTTGTGTAAGTTGTCTTAAAGGTGCAGTTATTTTACTTAGGTTTGGTATAAATTTTCCAACATATTTTACTAATCCTAACAATCTCAACAGCTCTTTTTTCGTTTTTGGATAACTTAATTTTACTACTGCTTCTATATGTTTCTTATCTGGCCTCACACCCTCATGCGAAATTTCATGTCCAACATAACTTACTGTATTTCGCTTGAATTGAAACTTTTCCTTATTAAATTTTATATTTAATTCTCTAGCTCTGTTTAACACTCTAACAAGGGCTCTATCGTGTTCTAGTTCTGTTGCTCCTGATATAATAAGATCATTAAAATAACAGAGCACTCCATCAATTTCTCCAAAAGCCTCACTTGTCTTACGCTGGAAAACTTCAGGTGCAGATGAAATTCCAAAAGGTAATCTCATAAAACAATAACGACCAAATGGTGTAGTAAACGTACACACTTTTGAACTATCCTCATCTAATTTCACGTGCCAGAAACCATCTTTGAGATCTAATACACTAAACAATTTTTTACCTTCTAACCCTGCTAATATTTCTTCAACGTTTGGGATGGGATGGTGCTCTCTCCTTATTGCTTTATTAAGATTTTTTGGATCTAAGCATAATCTAAGTCCTCCTTTAGGTTTTTTAACAATCACTAAGGGACTTACCCACTCAGTCGGTTCATTTATTTTCTTGATAACGTTCCTTATCTCCAGTGACTTAATAGTATCTTTTAACTCAGGAATAATACTAAATGGTACTCTCCTATTTGGACTTATAACTGGAGTTACCTCTTGGTCTAAAGTAATATGATATTTTTTCCCTGTAAACGCACCTAAACCCTCAAAGATATCACTTTAGGACTCAATAATCTGCTCTTTACTACTAACTTTATCTTCCAACTTTGTCAGTGTTACTGTATCTATTCTACCAATCAATTTTAATAATCTGCATGCGTCTAATCCTAATATAGGAATAGCATTACTAATATCTACAATTAGAAATTTTATTTTATGTCTCTCACTTTTGTTTTTTATAGTACAGTCCAAAATAACTTCTCCTTCTGGTTTTATTCTTTGATCTCCAAAACTTATTAGGACAGTCCTTGTCTTATCTAATTTTTTTATTTTTAACAATTTAGCTGTATGGAGAGGTAAAATATTAGCCTCTGCACCAGTGTCCAATTTGAAATTAACATATAGTTGTATTTCTTTAAAACTGACTATTACATCTTTGAACCATGACTTGTTACTATCACTACTAATTAAAGAGTGAATAAACAAATTATTAGTGTCACATTCACTATCAACTATATGCACATGCTTTTTTTCTTTCCTACAAACAGAAGCAAAATGATTTTTGCCTGTACACTTGGCACACATTTTATTATACGCTGGACAACTCTTTGGGGGATGTGAATAGCCACATTTACTACATTTATTAGTATTATTACTATTATTAGTATTATTAGTATTATTAAAACTATTAACCGATTTACTTTTACTTTGATAATTTTTTTTCCACTTAAAATGAGCCTTTGTACCTTCCTTTGTTTTGACTGCATCTACTCTCTCGACTGCATTGGTTCTGGTCTGACTGCTTTGCCCTTGGATTGCGTTGGTCTGTTGTCGACTCGCTTCTGTGGTTCGACAAAATTCAGCAGCTTTCTCCAATGTAAGGTTGGATTCTCTCAATAGACGTTCTTGTAGTCCGACATCTAACAGCCCCACTATCAACCTATCACGACACAAGTTGTTTTTTTCCATAAATTCACATGATGTTGATAACGTCTGTAGTTCTATTATGTATTCTCCGATACTCTGATCCTGCTTCTGCTTAGCGTTGAAGAATATAAATCTCTCATAGACAATATTCTTACGAGGATTACAATACTTTTCAAATTGTTCTAATACTTCACTCACTTTTGCAGTTGCTGATACATTGAACGTATTATACAATTCAATGCCTTGATCACCCATTAAGTTTAATAGTATAGCTACTTGTTGCTCGTTGGGCAAAGTGTTCGTGGACGTTGCTAGTACATATAAGTCGTACCTTTGCTTCCATCTTTTCCACACTTCAGATAGGTTACCGCAAAAATTTACTTCTGGAGGTGGCTTAAAAGCTGTTACTCCCATTACTTCAGTGTTTGGATTACC